GACCCCCCCCCCCCACATCATGAATTACATGATATATCATTCATACTGTACAAAGATTAGCATACTTCCTATTCTGTGACTGCATTGCCCTCAGAGCTACAGTGGCCTACCCTCCATCCTTTCTACTTCGAAGCACAGTTACAGAGGAAGTTGTGGAAGCAGGAGAGCATTGATGAGAGCAGGCAGTTTGTACTCGATAGGGCAGGTGGATCTTGATTAATCCACCCTAGCCCACAGCAATTGCTACTGATATGTTTTAGAGACTCTTATGATAAAATGGCTAGGTACAAGACTGAAATTGTGGCTCTCTGTGGAAACTATACAGTTGGAAAACAAGCCTAAGGAAAGTTAAGCCACTCCTTTATCTTGTACTTGAATAAATTAATTATGTTTCTGTACTTGCACGTTTCTTCTGTGTATGCCACATAAACAAAGTAGCTATCTAATAGCAATAAACTATGGAGAACTTCAACTTGAGAAGTGAGCAGCAGTGTCAGAAAATACCCTCTATATACTGAATGATAGTTCTATAATTTGAAATGTAATGGTTCTTGATGTATGATATGATGGGACACCAGAATCCAAAATTTTACTTCACATTTAAACCTGTAGCTGTTGTAGTTACAAAAGTTAACGTTCAAAATCTAGTTGTATCTTTGTGCTTTGGAGCTGGAATCCTTTTATTTGAGATGTCAGCTGCTTTCCTTGATACCAGTGTACTAACTATGAAGCCTAATGATAGGTAATTTTTAAATATTAGCTTGTTTTCCTTCTATTTTGCTTTAGCAGATACATCAAGGTAATAACTGGATGATGTACAAGCAGACACGTGGATAGAGAGTGGGGCCCAGCTAATTTTTGTCAGTTTTCTGGAGTTAAGAACAAGCAACTGAGCCTCTCCACTCTCATCTTCAGTTATCTCAAACTCAGAATATCATTCTTGCATATTTTCAAAAATATTTCATAAACATATAAATCAGTTTTCATTGTATCAAGATTGTTATTTTAATAACAAAAATGTGTTCTCAAATTTATTGCTTGGTTATGTCCTTTCAAATCTATACATGAAAATAAAGCTAACACTTTTTTTCCTTTTTTCTTTTTACCAGCTTACAATTTTGATGGCTTATTATCAATGGTGAATGGAGGAGTTGAGGATGATGCTGACAATATGCACGTTGATAGAGAGTTTGCTGTTGTATCAGGTGGGAGTGGACAATTTCCTGTTAACTACAACAACATTCAAATGGTTGAAGACACCAAACAGCAGGAGAATGGTTCTGTTGGACCAAAAGAGGTTGAAATTTACACAGTTTCTGCAATGCAAACTCCTTGTCGTTGCAAGAATCAATATACATTTTATTTTTAATTTAAATATAAAACAACTCTTTTTATTTTTTGCACATGGTTGTCCCCAGTTTTGAAAACAATTGTATTTCTGTAACGTCCATTAGATTGGGGTTTTAAGTAGATTATCAAAGATTAGCTGTTTCATAGAACACCGTGTAAAGGCATAAGGGAAATATTACTGATAGGTCTGAACTAAAGAGCAGTTCACTGTAGCTGTTTCACTTTAATTAAAGGCTTACATTTTATGTGCCTTGTTTTAGTTACTATAGTTTCAGCTTAAAAGCAAAATCAGAAGTATTTAAAATAATGGATTTCACTGGTACCAAATAGACTTAATTGCCAATAAGAAAATAGGGAAAAATAACACTTACATTGTTTTCAAAATAACGTGTGGTACCACTGACCTAGATTCAAACTAGCTTAACAGATGCTAAAAATAATACAGGCTTAACCAGAGTGCATTCAACATTTGTTTAAACACAGTGATATGCCTACAAGAAGCTTACTGTGAGCTATTACTGCTTTGTTTTATCTGAGTAAGAGACTCTGGATGCTGCAGGACTTTGGTTGCTATTTGCAACTAAAATACTTTAGGAAACACTGCTTGGATTCTGTATCTGTCCTCATGAAAACCCATGCTGTTAGTAATAATAGTAGTAGTAAATATTTAATACTTTTAAGCTTTTTCAAGGGCTGCTCAATCAAAATACTTTTTGATAACCTTAAAAGATATATGGCATGGTAATGAAAACTGTCTTAGATCAGCTTCTTCATGCACTTGGTAGATAAAGGACTGGGGTTACAATATGGATGCATTATAGTTTGAAATGAATATTTATGTTTTAAGTCATACTATGATCACATGTTTGTGCTTTATACTTTAAGTCAAATTCACCAAAGTGGATGATATTGGATAGGTATTAAAATAAGTTAGGAATAAAATACCTTTTGTTCAATAATCTAAAAGTAGATAGTGAAAATCCAGTGATAGTTACCAAATATATTTATGGAGAAGTAATTGGCCTCTTTTTTTAATTACTATAATTGTTATAGGTAGTAGTTTCCCACAAATATCAATGTTCTGTAATTGTCACTAGAACTAGTTATTATCTACTTTTGAATATTGATTAACAGTAATGGTATTTTTGTTAAACTTCACTTTGCAAAGGTAGCCAAAATAACCTATTTTAAAATAGTTAAGAATTTGCACTTTTCAGTTAATAAACACTTTAACGAATTTTTATTGTGCGTCTTCATCACTGAAGTAGTGGGTCTGATGTGTTGATTGAATATTTTTTTAATCTAACTTCCAGTAGTACTCTACAGCTAGTAAGTTTAGTGTGGTAATTATAGGTAATATAGATATGAAACAGGAAACATTTAGTTTGCACCTAGCAAATTTTGCAGATAACTCCGTATTCACTTACTGTAAATGAAGTACCAATGTCATGTACGTCCAGTTATATTTATGTAAAGAACTGTTAAGGGAATCATAACCTTCTGATTCGTTAGTGTGAAACAGTGGTACTCATTACCTGACATTTAAAAAAGATCTGATGTTTTATCATTTGGTGAGTTACCAAAAGAATTCCTAACTGCCCTGAGCTAGAAATAATAACGGTCATTTTCTGCACACAGGTCTATGCACTAATTTATATATAAACACGTGCACATGTTCAGATAAATAGAAAACAAAAGTCTTTACGTTTTTGTTGCTAATTTTTGGTCATACGTTAACATAAATGTATATGTATATATATTTCACTAATAGATATTTTTATGGCAGAATCAATAATTACTTTAATGCTAGTGCTTTGAATACCACTGCAAAAACATAAGCTTGAAAATTGACTGAATTTTTTACTGCAAACAATTACTGTACTAATTACTAAATATCAGAAGAGGAGTTGCTTAAAAATAGCTGTCAGTGTGTTTTGCATGCATGTTTTGACTATTTCCTGTTACTAATCTTCTAGTCCTCTGTGCATTCTCCGATTGCTGTTGTATGGCATTTGGCATGTGGATTGTGCAGATATTATTACAAATCTGTCATTAAATATAAACATTATTTTTCCTTTGCAGGTGAGGCACTAGCTAAATGAACTATTCTGGACTATTCTGGAATACATTTTATATTAGTTCCATAAGATTTGTTTGTATTGCTTATGTCAGAATGTACTACTTTCTGAGAACTGTCATTAAAGAGGAAGCAAATCACTGCTGTTAAAAACCCTTGCTCCCCTCACATAAAAGTCAGTTGTTGCACATACATTTTTTTTTAGCCTTAACCTGGTTTAAAATTTATGCCTAAAAAGATAATTTAACAATTTTTATTTTACTCTTTAAAATATTGATTGGATTTGTATTTGCTTACCCTACACTTACCACATGCAGTTTCTTAAAATTTATTTTAACTTTATTCTGCCTTCAGGAAGATTAACATAGTTAAGTATATTAATATTTCCAATTTAGATATGAATTCTGTTTCCAAAAATAAAATTAAAGTTGGTCTCAGATTTACTGATTATGTCAGACCACATCACTGTTAAATTCCTATACTGACATGGAATAAGAGGAGGAGGTTTGCACTGAGTTTTGTTTTCAGAACCCACTTACAGAAGCCTTTAAATAAGTGAACTGTAACAGAAGCATTTTGATGTATTTCAATTGAGTCTCAATTTTTGGTGACAGGTGTATTTCTTAATGCAGATATGAATAGCAGTAGTCCCATAATGAACGCATTGACAAATGGATGTGCCATCAATGGACATTTGGACTTCACCGGCACGGCACAGCTCAATGGAATGGATACCAGGCGTGACGAAAGTTTAACATTAGTTCCTGGAATAACCTCTACCAATAGGCATAGAATTCATACCACTAATGGCACTGAGGAACCAGAAAAAGCCCTGAATACTTCTACTGATATGTGTGGTTCCTTACATCAGAATGGAAGCCCAAGTAGCTTTGTATCTAACAGGCCCTCGTGGGTGGAAGATGTAGGAGATACTTTGCATTATGGACACTATCATGGTTTTGGGGATACTGCTGAAAGTATCCCTGAACTTAACAGTGTCCTTGAGCATTCCATTTCTGTTAAAGTTGAACAGAAATACAATAATACTGTCCTAGGCACAATGTATCTTTATCATGGTTCCTAAATCGAGTGTTGTTGTTTATATCAAATGCATATTGAAATTGCTACCAAATGTTTTGGGGTGATGGGAGGGGGGAGGGCAAAAAACTTGCAAAGCATTAAATTTGAAAAATGCAGCCATTATTATTTTTACACTTTGTTTATATTAAAAAAGTAAACCTTTCATTTGACAGCTTTATACTAAAGTTCTAGTTTGTGGCATGTACTTGGTGATAGAAGGTGCTGTTACAATGGAAAGTTTATTCTTTGTATTTTTAAGGGATGTTCTGTTTTTGTACTTAATCTTTTTATTTCCAAGCTTGTGAACACTATATCTTTCCCTTTAAAAAAAAAAAAAACAAAAACAAAAAAACCCAAAAAAAACTTTTTTCCATTTTATTAAAAAGTTTAAACTGAATGTTGTGCAAAAACGAGTTGTGCGATATAAATGCGCATCACTTTGAAGTAAAGATTTTTCCTCTTATCTTCTGCTGATGCTATGGTAGCAATATCAATGCCACCTGTCACTATGCAAGGTTTGAAAAGTGATTATCTTAAGGAGCTTCTCTGACTTGCTAATCTGTGTTTGTTTAATACAACTGAACGTTCATTAAGATGTTTGAGTAAAAGAAATGTTTTAAAGATGCGAAAACAGTTTGAGAAATGAAAGGTTTCACTAGGGTAGAATAGGAGTGCTTTTCTTTGTTGTTAGGCTCTGCATTATAGAAGTGGAAAGGTGGGTTACCTGTGTTCAGCTGCAAGGGGATGTGCCTCAGGGTTAATTCTTATTTGTGGCATTTTTATTTTGCTTCTCTACATTAAATGTAGCTTGATATTTTATCATAGCTCACAGACTGGATGGAGGCATGTTGGCATTGTTTTGCTTTGTATGCAGTTTAAAACCAATGTTACTTGTTATAGAAATGGTTGAGTCTCTAAACATTTCAGTTTTACTGTCTTTTGATATACATATATATTGTCAATTTTTTTACAATTTCTTTGAAAATGTAAGGCTGTGTTTTGCCGGTTAAAATAGTTTTTCTGCTATGTTCACTGAAAATACATTGTATTTAAAGCTTATTACACAAATGGAATTCATAAAAGTGCACCCTATTAGCACTGGTTATGCAAGTTACTACTTTGGTGATTTGATAAATTAAGAACGGTGGAGAAAAAGCTAAACAAGCGTAGTCCTTGAAATTGTGGGGGACGTTTGTTTGTTTAAAAGGGGACCTTTAAAAATCAGATTTAAAAATAAATAACTACATATTACCTTGTATTTGATTTCACGTTGTTTAGATACTCTACTTTCATTGGTGACATGAACAAATATTTAATTGTTTTCAAGTCAGATATCTTTAAGCCTTCTGTGAAATCCTTTTTATTTTAATATGTAGCAGTATGAAAATGTAAACAGGCTGGTAAGTCCTCTTTGACTGAATTTTTTAAGTATTTGAAAGATATTAATACATGTTTTCTACCATACATGTAAAAGCTACCTGAGTCTTGAGTTCCCAAGAAAGAAGAAATTGCTCTTGGCATTTGAAATGGCATAATTCTCAGTTTCCCTTTCAGTATTTCATTAGATGAAATTTTCCTGATAACAGTATTTTTAATATATTTACAAATATACTTTCTGGTTCAGTATTCTTATGCAAGATATCAAACAGCACACTAAAATGTGTTACTTACATAGTAGTTTTGATCAGGGATCCTGGTTTTCTCTGATTTTAAAAAAAAATAAAAATCCCTAATGTTCTGATTTAAAAAAAGAAACCCAAAATCTACATTTTTCCATGACTTAAAATGAAATGCCACTAATGTATAGATATATGTATAATGGTGCTTCATTTTAATCAGGCAAAAATGTGGATTTTGGGTTACTTTTTTTAATCTGAACATTGGGGATATTTTAAATCAGAGCAGACTGGGATCTCTGGTTATGATGACGATGTAAGTAAATTGAATTGTTGTTATTAGGGAATAAAAGCATGATTTTGTGGAAATAGCAAAATCTGGCATTGCCCACAAAATCCACCTCCCCCCCCCCCCCCCCAAAAAAAAAAAAAAAAAAAA